CTCCAAGGACGACGAGTGGCGGCGCTTCGCGGCGCTCACCGCGGGCGTCGACGACGTCCTCCGGCGCACGCAGGGGGACCTCGACCGCATCAAGCAGTCCTCCTACTTCCAGCGCAAGCCCCCCGCGTCGGCGCAGCAGCAGAAACATCCGCAGCCGCAGCAACAGCAGGCTCAGCAGCAGCAGCCGGGCGCGCAGCCGGCGGCTGACAAACCCGCGCCCGCAGCGCCCGCCGAACAGGTGAGCGTGCGAACAGGGGACTATGCGATGAATCAAACGATGGGTCATCGAAAAGGTGTTGGGAAATTGCCAGCGGGTATTGTGAACGTGTTTCCGCGAACAAGTCTCCGCGAACGAGTCTCCGCGAACGAGTCTCCGCGAACGAGTCTCCGCGAACGAGTCTCCGCGAACGAGTCTCCGCTAACGAGTCTCCGCTAACGAGTCTCCGCGAATGATTCTCCGCGAACGAGTCTCCGCGAACGAGTCTCCGCGAACAAATCTGACATTTTAGAAGTATTTACAGTTTTATTTACAAAATTTAAAAATGTATTGACTTCCCCGTACATACTTTCCTGTCTCTTCCGACCGCCAGCCGCGATCGTACCATCCTGGGGATACATGAAGGCCCCAACTCCAGTGCACGCTCAACTCGTGAGCTTCGTCACCTTTGCAATGCACGAATATCAAGCCTGAGCGTGAATTTTGCGCAAAGCGCGAGGTTTTCAAGAAAATACCTATCGGTGTGAGATAGCCAGCCCAGTTTATACGCGCGGGATAATACCCACAATACCACCGTTGAGCGTGGGAAGGAGGTTTACCGTCACGTGACACTTGCTGCAGTGTACACGCTCGCATCTACTTGGCTCTAAAAATACCAGAAACTCCAACGCCGTGGCTGCTAGCTGCAGTTCTCAGGTATCTGAGAGGCTTCCTTGTCCTCCTCCTACGCAAGGCAGCCAACGTGACGCTACACAAGATGTCTTTCCGTTCCCTAACATTATTTTTGCGCGCCGTTCGGGTTTCTTTGTGCAGGAGGATAACTTTACATTCAAATGTCCAACCGAATGACAACCTCTGGGCCAGCATTGCCACTGAATTTCAACCTCTCTGACCTGCAAGTCCATTGTCGCGAGTTGAGGGGGAGAGGGAGTACCCCTAGCAACTCGTGCAGGGAGAAAGTAAAGAGAGTGTTGATTAAAAATATTTATTATACTCACCCGCGTAGTGGACCCAGGGAGCGTGTGGCGACACGACGGCTGGCTCCAGCAGTTTGCAATACGTGAAGAGAGGGGTGAGGTGTGAAGCCCTCGCCATTTTATAGCCTCGGGATGCTGGCGTTGGCAAGTGACAACTGGTCACTCGCCGACGGCAGCGTATTGCGAGGGCCGGGATGCCATATCGCGACAGCTTCTAGTCTCTACGATTTAATTTGACGCAAATTTTCGCGACTATCTACATTGAATTCGGTCGCTCTCTGAAAGAGAACTAGCGGCCGGCTGTGCTGATCGGTAGTTTTCAAAGGGATGTCCTATCAACACCAGGTTCTTGTTCTTTCCTCGTCCCTTACTTACACACACTTACACTTACACTAATGCAACACACTACGAAACTTGCTGGAAGACACGGCTGAGGACGATGCCTCAAAGAATGAAAATTCCCACAAGCTGACGTGTATGTCAAAGCCGGGTCTCTACATACAGTGGAAGATCAATGCCATCTGGCGATACAACCATGCACTACACTTTCGGGACTAATGACTTTAGCAGTTGACGCGCCCGGATTCACTAATCAATCAAACAAACAGCCGAAGTGCAGGTGCACGTCGGATCTCATAATCCAGCAGGGTAGAATAACCGCCTTCTAAAAAACCCTCACTACACCAACGAGAATAATGAATATACAAGTAATCGTTGCCATGCCCGCATTTATTGGCACAATCTATACCGCGCGCGATGTGTGTGGAGCTGGGCGGGGCTGCATCCGTCGTAATCGGCTGGAGCAGTGCTCCGCCTAGGAAGATACCTGGAGGGGAACTCTCGAAAGCCGCCTTATAGCTTTGGGACATATGTCGCCATCTAGCGGCGGAGAAACGTTGTCGCCTCCTGCGGAAAACCACTCACCACACTAACGACGCTAAAGACCATAATAGTCGACGTTCCGGGAATCACTAATCAATCAATGAACCAAAGTGCCGGATCTGACCACCCATCTGGGAGGATATCACCGCTATCTCCCTCGAAACAAACACTACACTAACGGGACTAAGGACCTCAGCAGTTGTCGCGCCCGGAAACATTTTATCAGTGAACAGAAATATAGGCAGACACCGTATCCCATAATCCAGTGGGATCGAAACACAACCTCCTCCCTCGAAAAAACATACTAACGGGACTAATGACCTTAGCACTTGTGCTCGGAAAATTTAATCAATCAACAGAAGAGTTGCTGGACGCCATATATCATAATCCAGTGGGGTCGAAACACTGCCCCTTCCTTCGGAAAAAAAATCACAAAACTAACGGGACAAATAGCCATACCAGTTGAGGTGCCTGGCGCCCGCTGCACCGTGCGCTGAGTGTGGTGGGATTCCCCCTCTCTGAAAAGCATTCACTACTCCAACGGGACAAATGACCCTATCAGTTGAGGTGCCTGTCAGCCATTGTACCGTGCGCGGTGTTGGGTGCAATGCTCCCTATCTTGGAAAAACATCCACTTCACAAACGGGACAAATGACCTTACCAGTTGAGGGGCCCGGCACCCGATGTACCGTGTGAGATATGTGATACATTGCCCACTCCCTCGGAAAATCATTCACTACCCCCAACGGGACAAATGCCCTTACTAGTTAAGGTGCCTGTCACCGTGCGCGCGTGTGTGGCAGGGCGGTTGCCGCCGCTGGGTAGGCTTCGACGAGCGCACCGGACAGGTGCTCGAGCCGCCACCGGAGCCGACCCCGGAAGCGGAGGCCAAGGGCGAGGACGAAGCGGCCGGTGAAGACGAGGACGCCGCCCACGAGAGCAGCGAAGAGGACGACGACTTCCAGGTGAGCCGCTCCGGTCCCCCTCATCCTCCCGCCGCCAGTCTTCCCTCTCACCCGGAGCCAGGACAGCCTGCGGCGTAAACACGGCTGGATTCTAAAGGCTAATTTACAATGCAAACTTAAACATTGTGAGACAAGGCGGTCATTTATTATAGTTTATACCTAGTGCTTTAGAAATTGTTGATAAATCCCCAACTCGAGAAGAGATGAGATTTATCTGAGACTTTCCAAAACACAAGTGGTATTTTATAACCTTATTCCACGAATAAAATTCCGCCCAACACAAGTGGACAAATTAAAATCAAAGCGGTTATGTTGTATGAGTACTACATACGCGGTTTATTTCACATAATCACTGCAATCAATACATTCCGCCTACCAAGCAGATGAGTCTCAGCTTATTATTGGTAAGTGGGGACAATGTAGTATGAAAAAAGTATGAAAAATCGAATAGAATAAGTTAAAAACTTATTGTGATACACCACTCAGTCAAACATTTTGTATGAGTAGTTAAACACTATTCGTTTTAATTTCACGAGTGGAATAGTCTTCAAAAAACTCGTATTGTAAATCTCTGGCAGCAAAATAGATAATGCGTGTTCTTGTACGTAGACAATGACCACCTCTTACATTTGTAACACTTGGTGTTCACGTTTTATATGTGTGTGTTACCGAAAAATTAGTTAATGTCTTATCATCCGCCTGTGAATAACACTAGAGGATAAAGTGTATGGAGGATTTTCACCAATATTTCCTTATCGATCTGGCTGATGATACGGCTCCTTGAATATGAAAAGGGTACTTTGGGAGTATTTTGGGAGTTATTTTAGGGAGCTTAAAATAACTATTCAAAACTCCCTCAAAACTGTCACCAATTTATTTCTTTATTGTATTTCTCAGACCCGTTCTCCAGACCCTTACCCCGGACCCGTTCTACAGACCCGTTCCACAGACCCGTTCTACAGACCCGTTCCACAGACCCGTTCCACAGACTCGTTCCACAGATCCGTTCCGTGGGATCCCACTCCTTATCCTCAAACCCGTTCCACACGATTCATTCAAAACGAGCCTTTCTCAGCCATTGATTGCTTCGTGTGTGTGTGTGTGCGTGCAGGACGGGGACGAGGACATCTTCGACACCTCGTACGTGGACGCGCTCGCGTCGGGAGAAGTCCGCCTCGCGTACGTGCCCGACAGCCCCGAGGAGGAGGCCGCGCCCGGCGACGACCCCTTCGACACCTCCATCGCAGACCCCGTCGTCCGCGCGCTCGAGGAGGAGCAGCGCCGCAAGCCCAAGGCAAGACCCGTTCATTCACTCGTTCACTCATTCACTCTTTCACTCATTCAATCGTTCATTCACTCACTCATTCACTCTTTCACTCATTTACTCATTCACTTATTTACTCATTCACTCATTCACTTATTTACTCATTCACTCATTCACTCATTCACTCTTTCACTCATTCATTCATTCATTTATTTATTGGTATCAATGATGATAAAGGGTGGCAACAAATATTTCGGGTAAGAACAACACCCAATGCCTAAAGTAAGCCATTTGCTTATTAATTTGTTTATTTATTCATTTGTTTGTTTATGTATTTGTGTGAGGAAAAGGGTGATAACATAATTAGAACACATTGTTTTAATTATCCAATATTGTTATAAATATTCCAAGATCGTACATAAAAGTTCTGTGTATAATTTTGAAGCTAGTTTTTGAAATCTAAAACCCGCCCACAACAAAATCAACTTCACAACTTTTTGCAACATGAAATAAATACAAAAGAAAAAATGGTTCACAAATCGTGTTCTTGGCTATCCGGGATGAGCCGCGTCTCAGTTGATTGGACTGACGTTTTCGGCCCATCTTGCTGTGGCCCATCTTCAGAGCTATTGTAAGCGTACTTAGCCAGGCGCTGCCTCATGCATTACTAGTTTGGGGACGCTTGGGAAAGGATTAGCCTAGCCACAGAAGTAGGGTTTTTTCCTGTAAAGGGGGCAAACGCGAAATGGGGAAAAACAAGGCTTTGGGAGTTTCCGGCTTTATAGAACTTTTCACTGTTATAACAAGCGAGGGGTGGGGCGTGACGTAGTAGGTCACGTGAAGCCTCGCCTATATAACAGAGTGTACAGAGCCAGTGGGTGGGTTCTGGAGGACAGCGGAGAACCTCGTGCGTGTGCACAAAACTTGCGCAACGACGGTGCATATGCGAGCCAGGCTCGCGAGGCTGGAGTCACTAGTTGACGAAGCCTGCGACTTTATTGTCCTTGGGTGACTGCGGTCACCGGAGCGATGCTGTGTGCGTGCTCCGAGGTGAAGAGTGGTTTGAGTGCCACGATTCACGCCGATTCTCTATCGGATAAGATCCGCTCCTGCGATCGAGGCAAACCAGCCGTTGGTGCGCACAGGACGGACTTTGTGGTCCCAGCGTGACATCCGTTCACGGAAGCTAGGCTTTGTGCGTCGCTTCAAAAGTAGGAGTGGCGAATGCCACAATCAAAACCATCTTCAATCGGGTTTATATCGCTCCGCGATCAGGGGATAGTAGGTCTCTCAGAGGCTAGGGTGTAAGTAAGATATTAAGTGTATATATTTGTTTTGTTTTCTTTGTTAATAATGTATTGTTATACGAAAAGGCTCTGTGTCTGTGGTCGCTGTGAGTATCCATGACGTCACACTATACTGCCGGGTTAACATATCGCGCCCGGAGAGTGACGACCCGCGTGTGCGGCGCAGGTCAGCCTAGGGGCGAACGTGGTCGAGGTCTTCGCGGGCCGCGCCGCGCCCCCGCCGCCTCCGCCGCGCCCGCCTCCGCCGCCACCCGGGCGCCCGCCGCCGCCAGCGTCGCGTGCCCCGGGACCGCTGCTGGGCTCCTTCGACGAGGCGGCCCCGCCCCGAGGAGCCGCCCCGGCGCCGCCCCCGCGCCCGCACCAGCCCCGCCCCCAAGTCCCTGCTCGACGACGACGACGTTCTCGGTGAGTCCCCTCTCCTCTTATGGCCTACGTACGATTAATATTATTATTTTAATTATTTCGTAATATAATGTATAATAAAATAATAGACTTCAACAGAATATTGCAGTTGCTACTACTACTCTGCGCTACTACTGCAACTACTTCTGCTACTACTACTACTACTACGATTACTACTACTACTACTACTACAACTACAAATACTACTTCTGCTACTACTATTAATACCATTACTACTACTACTACTACCTGCTACACCATATCACCACACTACAACCACTACGCTACTACCTCTACTACTACTACTATTGCTGCTACTACTACACCACTATTACAACTACTTCCAGAAATTCTATACTATAACTATCCACTATTACTATTACTATTACTATTACCACTTATACTACTACAACTACTCCCATTATTGCTATTACTATTACTACTACCACTTATACTACTACAACTACTGCTGCTAATACTACTACTAATATTACTACTATTGTAGAATGAAGACATTGATGAATAATAATAATAACATTTGTTCACGAGATTGGTGATTACCCGCACATGACCAATCCGTGAGCCAATTTTTTATTTAATATTACTGCTATGCAGTGAATAGTATCCAGTTGAAGCATTGCGTCTGCCACGCTATTCCATACCGCATTTCAGAAGTCATAAAAAAGACCATAAAGAAATACCCGTGGGGGTATCTTTGCATACGGGTATGGAAGATGCGTAGTAACCGGAAAAGCCTGATAAAATAGGTTCTGACATCCACTATTACTATGCAGGTTAAACTTGTAGTATTTCAATAACAAGAGTGAAAATCACTAAATATCAGTGCAAACTGAAGACATTTCAAGGATCTGGCATATTAAATTAAAGAACAATGGAAGTAGGACCAAATTTACCTGAATCCTCTTTTTGTTTGCTGTTAACTTGTAAGCTTCATTTTAGGTTAACGCTTCGTGGCTAAATAATGAGTATTCTCTTGGAGGACGTTTAACTAAAAACAAATATATAACCTAGTATCTACAAGAATGTATATTCTTCCCGCGGGGATTCTAAAAAAAATTCTGAACCTCGTCATTCTTGAAAATCTTGCAGTCGTTGTCTCTGAGGTTTCGCGGCTGAATTCTGAGTGCCCAAAATGGAGGGCAGAAATCCTTCGGATAAGATGTTCATGTAACGAAGTGGATACGGATTTATACTCTTCCTCCGGTGATCTATAAATGTCCTCAACCCGCCTATTACAACGTATCCCGTTAAGATTCATTCTCAAGGTTGCGTGACAAAATGCTGAGTACCCAACAAATCTCTTTGGTAAAAAGTAAATGCGACTAGTAGTTGCGAATTTACACTCTCTGCCAGGAATTCTACAATGTCCTGAACTGCCTTCGGCTTACCGTGTTAACTTAATCCCGAGATCAACGTTATCTAGGCTATCACTGTGTGGCCACTCTGGGAGTCTGAAAATCTCTTGGTAAGATACAAGTGCACGCAATGGTCGTATATTTGTACTGGTCCCGTCGCGGATTCTGCAAAGTCTTGAATCTGCTTCTTTCTGCGTATTTCGCAAGCTTGTCCCCGAGGTCGACGTTCGTAGCTAAACGATGAGTACCTACTCTGGGAGGGACTGAGAATCCTTTAAGTAAGCAACAAAAGTAGGTTGATTTAATTTCCTACCGGGGATCCTACAAATCTCTGATCCCTCCTTTCCTATCGTTAAGCGTATCTCACCATTGGGTCCACGTTTCGTGGCGAAATGATGGAAAAAACCCTCTGAGAGACTGAAATTCCATTGTGCAGGAAACAAGTACAACGAAGTTGTGCATGCATCGGAAGTCTTGAACCCCCTTTTTTCCTGCGTATCCGGCAGGCTTCATCCCCGATGTCGTGGTCTAAAATATGATACCGTCTCTGAGGAACTGACAATGCTTAAGTAAGCAACAAAAGAGGGTTTCTTGATTTAATTTCCTACCGGTGATCCTACAAAGTCCTTATCCACCTTTCCCTTGTAACCGTACTTCGACCGATTGGTCCAACGTTTCGTGGCGAAATGATGAAAAAAAACCCTGCTGAAAGACTGAAATTCCATTATGCAAGAAACAAGTATAACGAAGTTGTTTGCATTCATCGAAGACCTGAACCCCGCCTTTTTTACTACGTATCCGGCAGACTTCATCCCTCGATGTCGTGGCTAAAATATGAGTACCGTCTCTGAGGAACTGACAATGCTTTAAGTAAGCAACAAAAGGAGGGTTTCTTGATTAATTTCCTACCGGGATCCTACAAAGTCCTGATCCCACCTTTTCCTTGTAAGCTTACTTCGACCGATTGGTCCAACGTTTCGTGGCGAAATGATGAAAAAAACCCTGTGAGAGACTGAAATTCCATTGTGCAAGAAACAAGTACAACGAATGTTGTTGCACTCATCGGAAGTCCTGAACCCGCCTTTTCCTGCGTATCCGGCAGACTTCATCCCCGATGTCGACGTTTCGTGGCTAAAAGATGAGTACCTACTCTGGGGGACTGAGAATCTTTAAGTAAGCCACAAAAGTAGGGTTTTCTCGAATTAATTTCCTACCGGGAATCCTACAAATTCCTGATCCCACCTTTCTCTTGTAAGCGTACTTCACCCGATTGGTCCACGTTTCGTGGCGAAATGATGAAAAAAACCCTGTGAAAGACTGAAATTCATTGTGCAAGAACAAGTACAAACGAAAGTTGTTGCATGCATCGGAAGTCTTGAACCCCCCTTTTTTCCTGCGTATCCGGCAGGCTTCATCCCCGAGGTGAGGTTTCATTGGACGAAGCGGGTTCTCCCGTCGTCCCAGTCGTCCCCGCCTTCCCCGGTGCGGCGTCCGCCGCCGCCACCCCCGCCTCGTCGCGGCCGTCGTCTCCTCAGCCGCCGGCGCTCAGCGACTTGGTTGCGGAGTTCGACGTGATCGGCGCTGCCCCCTCCCCAACCCAGGACGCCCCGTGCGCCCTCACGCTCGTCGACGGTGAGGCGCGGAGCCCGCCCGGGGGTTCCCCGAGCACAGGCCTGCGCAACCCACGGCCGTCTTCGGGGTGATATGTAATAACACAATGTTGGTGTATCGCGTTTGGTTTTTACAATCGAAGGTAGATTGAGCTAGATCAAGTCAGCATATACTAGGCAATTTTATCCAGAAAAATATTTTGGATGTCCAAGTGACGCTGCGTCGAAGACTGTGGTACCGATTTTTTTGTAATATAAAAATTCCTAGAGACTATAGTATAGATTTGTAAATTAAGTTTCTTTTTAACTCAAAGTGAATATTAGACACTCCACTTTAAATTGACAAAATATTTGATTGATCTTCCGATTTTCTTAAATTTTTCAGCAATAAATATTATATTTTGCTCTACATATGATTAGGTACTTACTGCAAAACAAGAGTTAAAAGAGAATTCACAACACACATTATCACAAATTTTGATACCTCGTTAATGCAATAATTACTCGTGAATTCTGAAATAGATGAAGTGAAATAATTGTAATTTTGAATTGGTGGTCAATGTTTTCTTGTAATACTTAAAGTAGTTGAAACTTTGGGAGTGTTTTATGCTTCATAACAGTATGTTCTTTGCCTCTAACGTCATATACATACATATACAGTCATTTTAAAATGATTTTAGGCTAGAGGTTTAGGTATTCTTGAATGAGGCTCAATGAATTATCTAGGTGTACGTGAATTAAAATTATCTTAAAAAGTAAAAAAGAAATCCTCTCGGGTACAGTTATTGTATCTCTCAACGTCGCTGGTAATGAGTTGCGCAGGCCTGTTGCGTTCACAGATTGAGCAGAATGACAGTAGGCCATTCCAGAGAAGCATTGTGTCGGCACTTGTAGACGTTATTCTTAAAAAACGCTTCAATAGATGGGGCTACACTCCTAGAAAATTGCTGCATTGGCGTAGGCGCATGCAGTAGGGTAAAGAAAACGCTTAATTTCTCTCATGGATAGTCTCATTTTTGCCAAGTATTTTCTCCACCTTCCTATCAGAAATTTGCCGCATTTCATTTTCAATTTAAAAAAATTATTTGATTTATAAAATATATCATACACATTGCATAATAGCATTATGTTGCTATACTACATTTGTGAAGATAAATAAAAAAAATATTTTATTTCAGTTTACCTTGTTATTCATTAAACAATGTAAACTTTAATAATGAACTCACATTTTACGTTCGTATGAAGTGCATGTGGATTCAAAGGAAATTCTAGAGCGATAGCCAAGTATTTCATTATAGTTTCGCACGCGTTAGATTATTGTAATGACAGACAAACTTAGAAGTCTGGATAAAAGTAGAAAAGCATCTTAGTAAACTAGTAAATCTGTTACACCGAAAAGGTTTAAGAGCAACATGTGTAACAGAGCCGACGCTAACGAACAGTATTGCATGATAGTTTCAAATAAATTAGACTTTTAATAGAGTTAGAAGATTTATTAGTATTCTTAGATCTTTAGCCATATCAGCAATTATTAAGTGCACTATTAACTGCTTTATTATAACAAAATAGTTTAGGAATAGTACAGCAGGCATAGTAGAGTAGTGACCAATAATTTAGAAATTACAATTTCGTGAATATGTTTTATACTTTTGCTGGTGAATGAAGATTGCAATATTAGTAATTTTGGTAATAAAATGGTAAACAAGGTGCCTTCCTATTTATTACTACTTTCCGATGCTATGGCACTTGGTGAAACACACTGAATTGCACTAATATTTTGATATCATATCAACAAATCCGTGTGTAGCAAAAGTGCGATCCGACAATCAAGTAATTTCAGTGAGGTTATGCAATCCTCCCGACACTCGTGTGTTAAGTCAAACGGGTTGCAGCTGTCCCTGACCTGAAATTTAAGCGATACACCTTGCCCTTGTTATCCACTAAGATAACTGTGACAGTACAAGTAGTAATGATTTGAGAGACCCGTCTGAAGACATAATTAGAAATACCTAAATAATGCCAAATTAAAAAAATGTTGTTCAGAACACGCTATCGTTGAAATTAAATATTAAATGTTTATCGCAGTGCGACAGGAATACAAAACATACAGAGAAATGCGACATTTCGTAGAGATTTTAACGGTATAATTTGGAGTTTCCCCTGGCACACTTGTATCTTGGTTTTTGCTAGGGTTAAATTGACTGTAAACAATATTTACGAGAGCTGTTCTTAATAATCACTTTCCACTACTCTTATTGCTCTTGCAATGTGATTTGTTCTTTTCATTTACTGCGAATTCCGGCCAACATTGTTCACGATATAGATACAGATATATAAATCGAGATGCGCTGATCTCTCATCTGCCTGATGTTAAAATATATTTGAAGGAAATATGTACGAAGTTCGTGAAATATGCACCTTTTTTGAAAGCATTTTGTGAACATTTTAATTTATCGTTCCTAATTGTAATTTGCCTGTTTTGCTCAATGAACTGCTTGAATTGTAGCTCTTAATTACAAATGAATATTGTATGCCTTTGTCTGAAAATGTGTAGTTGCGATAGGTGAAAAATATGTTTTAGCAGGTTTGCAGATCATTCAGGTAAGTGAAATGATTCATCCGTGATGTGCATTTAGGAAATCGCTTTTACTACAATTGCAAAATGTGGCTGCTGATTTCCACTGCTGATAAATCTGCGACACGCTGCATAGTATTATAGGGAGCAATTAGTTGCACACACGTTCGACCATAAATATCCTAAAACAATTACATCTAACTTATTTTGTAGTGTTTCTTTCGTACGTCATTTTATCGCTCTCCATAGTTAACAAATTCCTGTATCCTTTTATCAAACATGAATCGAGAGTAAAAAGAGGTTTTTAATTAATTATGAGTTTTTCGTTCATTCTTTTGAATAATGAGCAATTGGTGATTTTAACCAATAAGCAAAAGAGCGTTAAATATATTCCCAAACATCTTTTCTATTCTTTCGTAAAAGCAATAAAAAGAAGGAAATCATCATACAAACAAAGAACTGTAATATTGTGCATCACCTAACGTTGCTGACAATGAGCATCTTATGTCACATCATGCGAATGAATTAAGGGTAAGAAGAAATTTTACTAGTTTTCGGAGGAGATATATAACTTAGTAAAAATTTAGACTTTAATTTTAAATATTAGTTTCTTTAAATATACTTTACTTCCTTTAAGATGTTCAATATTAAAACCAACTTAAATCATAACACTTATTTGATTATAAAACGGGTTTCCCTCGCCGAATGAATTTTGACCACTCCTGTTGCGTTGTTATGAAGACGCCATTTTAGTTTAATGAACAAAAATACATCTGGTGCTAGACAGACCATGGAAATATTTTCCCAACCTGTTATGCTGTCTTATAGCCTGCATTTCCATACATTTTGATCTTTGATATACGAAAACTCAGGCTCTGTACTATAATCTCTCTCGCTTTTGAAGAAAGAAAATTAACTTTATTTGAATACCCTATGAAAGTTTTGTCAAGCAAATTCGCCCACAATACGAGGTTTGTACGTAAGACATGGTAACTATTTTTGGGAGAATACAAACACGGGTGGAAAATGTGAAATATACTAGGTATGAAGAGGCATCTCGTATTATAGTATTCTAATGGTCCTCCGTCTTGTATGAAAAACTTCGCGCTATTCATGGTCGAACGATATCCCCTATTACGCACGCCAGGAACGACTCTTGTGACCCGTTCGTTGGCTCCCGTTCCGCAGACCCTCTCGCGGCCGCAGCTCCACCAGTGGTACCACCCATCTCCACCGTTGCTGCCGTCGCGGGCCTAGTGTCAGTGCTACCAACCGAGGAGGACGAAGACCTCGACGACGAGTTCGCCGCTCTCGCACAGGAGAGCGCGCATAAACCACCACCGCCACCGGGACCCGAACCTCAGACCGCAGGTAAGGGCTAACCCCCGCCGTTCCATTGCGTCCCGTCGCGAACTTGGCAACTCGACAAACCGCCTGTTGACCAGTACACGTATTAGCAGACTCGCAAACTTGCTTACTTGGTCCCACGACAATTAAACAACTCGACGAATTGCCTACTCGCCAATTCGCGTCCTCGTCTACACACCAACTCGCCAGCTCCTGAACTCGCCAAAATACCAACACGCCAACTCACCAATTCCCGAACTCACCACGTTTCCCACTAGCCAACTTCGCCAACTCACCAATTCCTCAACTCGCACAATCACCAATTGCCCAACTCGCCACCCCACAACACACCCCACAAATTGCCAAAATCCAATTCGACAACTTCCCAACTTGTAAACTCTCCAACTCGCAAACTTCCCCAACTCGCAAACACTCCAACTCACAAACTCCCCAACTCGCAAACTCCCCAACTCGCAAACCCCCAACTCGCAAACTCCCCAACTCGCAAACTCCCCAACTCGCAAACTCCCCAACTCGCAAACTCCCCAACTCGCAAACTCCCCAACTCGCAAACTCCCCAACTCGCAAACTCCCCAACTCGCAAACTCCCCAACTCGCAAACTCCCCAACTCGCAAACTCCCCAACTCGCAAAACTCCCCAACTCGCAAACTCCCCAACTCGCAAACTCCCCAACTCGCAAATTCCCCAACTCTCAAACTGCCCAAATCGTAATTCCCCAACTCGCTACTTCTGAACTCACTTACTTAACTCACCAAGTCCCCAACTCCCCATCTCGCCACCCCCAAACTTCCCGATTTCCAACCCCCAATTTGTGTCGCCGACCCACAAAACGTCAACTTTCCACCTCCCTAACTTGCCGACTTTCGAACTCGCCACGCCCAAATCGCCAACTGGCGTTAATCGTATAATCAACAATGTCACCTACTTTTCAACTCCCACATTCGACAACTAACGAACTCAACAACTCACGCTCTCGACAACTCGCTTCGTCGTTAATTAGCCCAGTAGCTGACACGCGAAGGTGGTCTAACCATGCTTAGGCGCACTGTTAGCAATGTGCCAAACGAAACCGTACCTCTTTGCGTGCCCGCGCAGAGGCGGCCGGCCCGGAGGCAGGCCTTGGCCTTGGCCTGGGCCTAGACCTCGACGAGGAGGAGCCCGACCCGTTCGACACCCGCGCCGCCGCGGCGGTGGCCTCGGCGAGCAGCCCTCGAGCGAGCTCATCGACCCCTTCGCCCTCGAGGAGGACGAGCTCGCCGCGCTCCGCAGCCCGTCGGGTGAGTTACCCCTCGCCCCGCCCCACTTAAGCCCACCGAGCGCCTGGCCTCTTTGGCGCACTTTGGCACTCGGCCATAAACCCTACTTACATCCTCTGCTTTGGCGCACTTTGGCACTCCCCGTCTCCCCTTAGGCACTCGCCATATTACCCTACTTACATCCTCTGCTTTGGCGCACTTTGGCACTCCCCGTCTCCCCTTAGGCACTCGCTATATACCCTACTTACATCCTCCGCTTTGGCGTACTCCCCGTCTTCCTTCATTAGCACTTTCACCCTCCAAATGTGGTCCACTTTGGCACTCCCAGTCTCCCTGTCATTGGTTCTCTACCTCTCCAAATGTATTCCTTTTTGGCGAACTCTGGCACTCCCAGTCCCCCCGTCATTGGCAATTTCACCCTCCGAATATATTCCTCTCGGCGAGCAGCCCTCGAGCGAGCTCATCGACCCCTTCGCCCTCGAGGAGGACGAGCTCGCCGCGCTCCCGCAGCCCGTCGGGTGAGTACCCCTCGCCCCGCCCCACTTAAGCCCTCCGAGCGCCTGCCTCTTTGGCGCACTTTGGCACTCCCCTTCATTGTCAGTTTCACACTACAAATGCCATCTTTGACACACTTTGCCATACTCCGTCTCCCTACATACATCCTTCGCTTTGGCGCACTTTGGCACGCTCCGTCTCCCCTACATTGTCACTCGCTATATACCCTACATAATCCTCCGCTTTGGCGCATTCCCCGTCTTCCTTCATTGGCACTTTAGCCCTCCAAATGTATTCCTCTTTGGCGTACTTCGCAACTCTCCGTCTCTGCTATATACATCCTTATTTTTGGCGCACTTTGTCACTCTCCGTCTCCCCTTCATTGGCACTTTCACCCTTCAAATGTGTTCCTCTTTGGCGCACTTTGGCACACTCCGTCTCCCCTTCATTGGCACTTTCACCCTTCGAATGTGTTCCTCTTTGGCGCACTTTGGCACTCCCCGTCTCCGTCATTGGTACTCTACCCCTCCAAATGTATTTCTCTTTGGCGCACTTTGGCACTCCCCGTCTCCCCTACATATATCCTCGGCTTTGACGCACATTGGCACACTCCGTCTCCCCTACATTGGCACTTTAACCCTACAAATTTATTCATTTTTGGCGCACAAAGGCACACCCATACATGGTCACTTTAACATTTCAAATGAATGCCTCGTGAGCGCACTTTAGCATTCCCGTTTCCCTATATATCTATTCCTTTTTGGCGCACTTTGGCACTCCCCATCCCGCCTACATTCGCACATTAATCCTCCAAATGTCTTCCACTTTGGCACTCCCGTTTCCCCTACACATCCCTTCCTCTTTAGCGCATTTTGGCCCTACCCTAAATATACCCTTTCTCTTTGGCGCACATTGTCACGCCCCGTCTCCCCTACATCCTACTCTCGGAATCCTTTAGCCCTTCCCGTCTCCTCTGCATTGGCACATTATGACAACTCGTATCTAAATCTATTAAATTTTTATTCTCTCTCGCTCCTCGCTCTTCCCCTTGTCTCATGCATTGGCACTTTAACTCTTCAAATATCTTCCACTTTGGCTCACTCTGACACTTCCCGCGTATTGTCTATTGATACTGAGATATCTGCCACTTTGGCATACACTGGCACTCCCATCCCTATTGGCATTTTAATATCAGTACTAAAAGTGTAAAACAACAGGCTTCGTAGCGAAATGTCCGAATTGGATACCGAAGTATTAGGTTTGTTGAGAAAAAATGTTAGGAAATGTAATAGTTCTTGCGCTAGTAGTTGTGAAGTAATGGAAGAGAATGGCTTACGATAATATTGAGATACTTGTGCAGAATATTTCATTTTAATGAAACATGTATTTTAAAGGAAACCTCCACTTGAGTTCAGAAGTAACAGTTGTTACAAATCGCTTTCTCATTGCCACATTCTGGCAATCTGTTAATTCTCTTAATTGGCACTCGTCAAATCCCGTCTACTTTGGCGCACACAATCTCTCTCCATCTCATCTGAATTTGACACATTTCGACTGCCCATAGCACTCCAAATCTCTTCCATTTTTGCACACTCAGTCACATTCCATATCCCCTCAACAATTTGCGAAGTCCTCATATCTATTTGGTCTCTTCTATAATGTCACCCGATCTCTCCGAATCTGTTCCACTTTGGCACTCTCAGAAACGCCCATTACTCTCAAAATCGCTTGTACTTGGCACTTTCCGAAGCCCTAAGACTTACTTTTCTATTCTCTTCCACATGGTCGTCACTCTCTGGAACCCTGGGTTACTCTGAAATTCTCTTTTATTTTGATACCGTCTAGAACCCATTACTTTCAAATTGATTCTGTCCGGCACACTCTATTACTGTCCAAACATCTTCCGTGTAGGAGATCTCTGGCACTTATAGTTTCTCACGTGAATTCACGAGCACCTTCAAACTCTCAGCACATGCTATCTAGCGCTTCATGTCTCCTCTACATTGACACTAACTTTCCCAATCGTTATCACTTTGGCGCATTCTGGCAATCCTTGTTGATCATCTACATTCACTGAAACCTTCAATTCGTCAGCTCATCCTCTTCATGCTCTATGGCGCTTCCCGTCTCTACATTTCCACTTTAACTCTCAAAGTTTCTTACACTTTGGCCCGCAATGATAGTCCCCTTTCCCTGTGAAATGGCACATTCTGTCTACCCGTATCACTCCACATCTCCTCCACTTTGCCGCACTCCGGTACTCCCAGTTACGCGCGTGCATTCGTCAGGTAAGTGTCCCCTTGTCTCTGGCACTCGCCACACCATTTGCATTAGTTCTATCTGCCTACCCGTTACTCTCCAAATCTCTTCCATTTTGGTTCTCCAGAGATTAATACGTACGACATTAAAGTTGTGTTTGATAATGTTTTTTGAAAAAGGATAATTTTAGTCAGTAAGTGAAAACTGTGCTAAGTACCAAAAATTGGAATACTGAGAAAATTGAGAAAAACTGTTTCAAAAGCTCGCAGGACTTGACTTGATGCGCAGTCTAGTGGCAACAATTTGAACTTCTAGGAATGAAAATTTCCGATAGCCCATTTTACACACTTACCACTCTTTTCTGCACAAAATGCAAATTTTTACATTTTGGCACTTAGCCCCGATTTCATTTGTGCTCTAAAATTATTGTTTAAAAAATCATATTTTCGCATTCACATTAATTATGCTGATGTAAAATTATGATATCGTAGGGCAATGCAATACTTTTCTTCAAACTAATATTCTGCGTGGGCACAAGCTGTAAAAAGTAGAAACGCAAATTAGCACTTGTAGAATTGCACTGCTTATTTACCTATTTCTGACAAAAGAAAGTATAAATAATTTCCGTTGGCAACAGAACAACGCACATTAACACGATCGCATTGCTTATTGCACAACGCACATTGAAAATCTACAATTGAATTAAGTTAGGTTGAAAGCATTATAACCAAAAAATCATTATGGTTGAAAAATGGCTCAGAAAGGTAGGAATAATCTCAAAATATTGAGCTTCAAGAATGAAGGCCGAAAGTGATATATTTGCTGGATATATATTTACCTCCAATTCCCATTAGTTGTTCATAATTTAATCAATAATATCTATCATTAGTAATGTTCTGCAAATTATTAAGATAAGAACAGTAATATGAGAGTTAGCTGTTGGTATTTGAATTCAGTTTGCTAGACATAGCGTGGCATTCACATTACCTCTACACTAAAAGCCTCAGAAAAAAACAAATTTTAATCGCTTAAAAACGAAGTTGAACATTTGCATTTGCAAGTTTTGGAAATAAAGAGAATTTAAAGTCTTTACTTTAAACTCTAATTTTGATAAAAGATTTCTTTGACCAAATTTAAGAGACTTTTTTACAATTGTGGTTATAGGAAAAAAATATATATTTAAAAGTAACCAAAGTAATTGCAAGAAAGGGATGTTTCTTTTAAATGTAAATTTTCTTGTTAAAATCACAATTGTAAAAAGATGTCTAGTCAATTTTGTCAATTTCTTATAATATATAAATTATAATATAAGACGTAAGTAACAAAATAATATAATTTTTTCAATAATAACGAGATAAGAGATGATACAATATTATTTAATATTTTAGTACAAGGACTCTTCAAAAAAGTGTCTGTCGGAATTGTAATTTAAAAGTGATGATTCATTTCTAAGAACTAGGCAAAAGAGGAGATAACTTAAACTGTTCTTTCGTTTTTCTGTCGCAGTAATATACCGTGGCACAGAACACCAAATGTGATTTATAAATGATACATCCCCAAGATGTACGCAAAATGAATTCATCATCTCATTGCGACTGGCCTTTCAATTTATTATCACACCAATATGCCGTGGCACAGAACACCAATTGTAATTTGTAAGTGGCGATTCCCCACAAGCATTAGGTAAAATGGAGTTAACTCCTGCTTTCGAATGATCTTTCAATTTACAATTGCACCTGTATGACGTAGTTCAGGACACCAATTGTAATTTATAAGTGTTGATGCATCCGTAAGAAGTAGGCAAAATGGAGTGAAATTCTCATTGCAAGTATCTTTTCAATTTACATTGGCACCTGTTTGCGTGACACAGAACACCAATTGTAATTTATAAGCGGCGACTCACCCCTAAGAAGCAGGCAAATTGGAGTTAACTGAAAGAAAGGAAGAAATTTATTTCCATCCTTATGGTACTAAACAATTTGTTACAATGATAAACCTTTTGAATACCCTGACATACCCTGACCAGTTTTTTACATCTTTTACATAAAATACTCAACTTTTCCATGCGGCTGTTCTTTCAATTTACTATCGCACCAAAGTGCCGTGGCACGTAGTGCGCACGTGTGCCAGAACACCACCTGTATCGCGCATCGCACCGCTTGTCGGCCTAGCTCGCACGCCACACCTCGAATACCCAGACCGGAATTCAGCTGGTGGTCACTATCATAATTTTACAAATAAAAGAAAATACAAATGTAATCAACTTC